AGAACAAAATTAACAAGAATAGCAACAAGAGCAGAAATAAATCCATAGATACAGAGAATATTTAGAGGGATACTAGATGGGAGGGAGGTTGAGGGGGGACTGAAAAAAGGCAAAGAGATTAAGAAGTACAAATGGATAGTTGCAGAATAGACATGGAGATGTAGAGTGTAGCACGGGGAAGATTTTAATAATGTTTTAATAAATACATAAGGGGGATGAGGGGTACTAGATTTAGTGGAGTGATCACTTTGAGACTTATGTGGATCTCTGATCACTATATACAACTAAAACTGGTATATTATTGTATGCCAACTATAAATAAAAAAATATTGTACAATGTAAATACAAGCAACTAATTGTCTATTTCAACAAAGACAAAAAATATTCTGAAAAACAAACACACAAATAGGCAAGAATGCATTTAAAAGAATATTCTTCACACATTTAAGTAAAAATATGAGCAAAAAGCAAATGTTCATCAAAGAGACTAAATTTGTTAGTTATAATTACTAATATGGAACACTGGATATTCTAATGGCAGTGTAGGTTGTATGTTGCTAATATTAGAAGACTTCACAATGGATTGAGTGAAAAAATGACAGTATATGTAATAAATCCATACTTGTTAATAAACGATACTTTTCTCTCAATATATTACCATGTTGTCACTTTCATAGGTAAATAGAATGAGTTTTTTTCAAAATTTTGCAGTGGTGTTTATTGAACTTTTAAAAAAAATAGTGACACTTTCCTTCCATCCACTTTTTTCCCAAGACTAACATACATATTGGAACTCATCTCCCCTAAGCCATTTTTTAAAAAGAAAAATCATACAAAATCAACAAGTAGGGAGAACTTGGGTCTGCTACTTATTAATCCATGAGAGCATTTTCAGGTTTAAAGTTTAAATGAAGTCTCTTCCAATGGAAATAAAGCAAGGTTTATTCCAATACTTCTATGATCCAAGAGGGAGGAAAAGAATGAGATAAGCATCCTCCTCTCTATCATATCTGCAGGGCCCTAGACACCCTGTTTCCCTCAGAGACCAAGCAGCCTACAAAGCAATGGCTGCACACTAACTGGCCAAACATCTGCATACCTGACACATACTATTGAATTCACCCTTCAGTCTGGTGTTACCTGATACTGGTCACATAATCAGAGATGCTGGATGTCAGAGGTCTTCAAGGATAGAAGGAGAGAACACATGAAGGTCTTGTTGGAGGTTTTGCATAGGTTCTACATTGGGCATTCTGGGGTCACGTTTGGGCCAGATTGGCAATGGATAGGGCTTCAAACTAGTGACAGGAGAACTGGGACTAGATTCTTGGATTTAAATCTTTGTCCCATACTGGGTGTAGACTCATTTCAAAGTGATAGATGGAGGATGAGCTGGCAACAAAGACAAAGATCTCTATCAGAGGCCTCAGCCGGAGTTTCTCCTTATGGCAAATGCATGATTTTTGATGTCTCTGGAAGCTAGAGTTCCAAACTTCCTTATTGCCTGAGTCCTGGAACAGTTTCAAGCATCAACATAAGCTGGCTTTTATTTTCCCAAGTTTGTATTCTAAAATGTGCCCTTGACCAGATAAATTTCAGTAGCAAGATAATTTATTGTAAACATTGCCTAACAGAAAAGGGAAAGATGGCAGCTTAGGGCTAGTGGAAGAGAGTGGATTCAGTAAGACATGTAGAGTGTTTTCCTTTCTCCTTATTGATCTCTCCTAGCCTATTTTCTTTCTCAAATGACTGGCATATGTGTTTGAAACTTAACCTGTCCCTTGATTTCTCCTCCTTAGTTTCTACTCATCAGAGGGCCTCTATCCTTTCTGTTAATAGTGCAAGCTTGGAGCACTCACATGTTAGAGACTCAGCTTCAAAGCAATGTTCTTTAAGAACTGGCCAGACATAGCCATTGAAACAAAAGGACTAGCCTTCCATTTAAAGTTCTTCTCACCTCTGCTCCTAGTCACATCTAGTGCTTTAATGTAGCCACCCCCTCCCATGAACTTAATCATGTTCCAAATATCTGAGGGTTCATACTGGAAAAGCTTCATAATTCCTCCAGGAAGCTTATGAGGAAAAGCAGCAACAATGAAGAATACCTATGTAAGATTTTCTGGATAGACTGAGCAGAAATTTTATGTCTTAAATTTAGTTTACAGTGGTTCTAGATTGGTAGTAATCCCAGATCTTGTCTGAAAATAAAATTATATAATCTGTAGAAAAGAAAGGCACTTTTTTCCCAAGGACATTGGGAAGCCCCAGAAAACCTCTTTTCAAGGACAGAGTGACACACAAACATAATCAACCAAAATAGGAAACAAACAGAGTGAAGAATTTAAAAAATAAATTGACAAAGAGATTTATAAAAGCTTCAGTTATTGGTATTAAGAGATGCATATTTTGAATCGACTGTGCCTACTATGTTACAAATATCTTTGAAAAATTGAAATAAAGAACATTCTTTTGGAAAGAGAATTATGAATGGGAGATAGATCAGAAAAATTACCCAGAATGCAATACAGAGACTGAAAGGTGGAAATTATAGAGAAGGATTTAAGACATAGGGAGAATAGAATGAAAAAAACCTACCTTATAATGAATTGGAGTTTAGAAGAGGAGAAAGAATGGGGAAGTATATAAAGAGAAGAAAAATTTGCCAAGCACAGGAAGATGCACTTCACAGATTCGAGTTGCTTAACATATCCCAAAAAGGAGAAAACTCAAAGGATTTCACTCAGAAACATACAAAAAACTGGAGGAAACACATTTGGTGTCTGAATCCAGTTCAAAGCCCAGGATTCTAAGGGAGGAAAAAAAATTCTAATTTCCTAGTCTCTGCACGCCCCTTTAAAATTTTGTATTTTTCTGTGTAATTTGTATTTTAATATTACAAAGGCCATTGTTCTAAAAGAACACTGAGCAAAAGATGTGCAGTTCTCAGAGAAGGAAATACTAGAGCCAAGAGACACATGAAAAGATCTTAATGTTATTAACAATAAAAGAAATGCAAATTTAAGCCACAGTAACCTACAATTTCAAACTTAACAGACTGGCAACATTCGGAAGTTTCACAAAAACAAGTGCTGGCATTAAGAGTTGGCAACGAAAATAACTATAAATTGGTTCAACTTTGTAAAACAGTATCTTCGTATAACAAAGAGTAGATGGGAATATACTTTGTACTGGCAAATCTTATTACATACTCTAAGCCTACAGAGGAATCTAGCTGACGCCACGTTTTTAAAACTACTGCTGCTATAGGGATTTAAATACCAGTCACAAGATATACAAAGATAGAAGCAATGTCTAATGAATCTTATGCATATAAATACTTGACATGTACAAGGAAATTCAGTTATACTATTTATAATTAAAAATATGTAAAATTAAATTAAATTAAAAAAGTAAAGGTTAACAACCCAAATATACAGCAACAGTAGATTGCTCTGGCCTATATACATCTATGTATAGCACCGTTTTTGTGGGCTGTGCAAGGTCGGAGACTGACAGGCGCTTCCAGGGTTTATAAGGAGTGATTCTTCCTAGTACTATGGGTCTTTGTCCTCAAAGCGCTCACTACAGTCAGATAATTTTGAGCCCTTCCAAGACGTGTACTGCACATCGGAGCGACACTGTGTCATTGCGATAACGTGACCTCATGAATTTCCGGGAAGTGTTAGTCCACATACAACTTATTGTTGTGACAGCCTGGACACAGGACATCCTGGGAAATGCAGTCCAGGGCAAGTGGGCACCAAATACTTAAGGCACATATCAGCTGGTCAGCGAGGCAGCGGGGTTTTGGATGAGAGGAACTCTTCCACGGGTAGAGGCCAGTTCTTGTGCGGCAGCAGCCAAGATTGCCCAAATTCTGACAGGAGAACGCACGAACGAGCAGACGAATAACTCGAAGAACTTTAGTCCGCATAATTTCCTAGGAAGTGTAGTTTCGTGGTTTGGACACCATTGTCCTTACAACGCAAGTAGAGGGTAGCAGGTTTCAATAGAGGCGACCGTTGTTCTGATACTCTGCACGCATGTCCGGATAGGCCACTCTGCCTGATCGCTCCAGGAAGAGTAGTTTCTTAGAAAGCCCAGGCGGTTCTCGCGATGCTCCGAGATCGCGCGCAGTCGCGTAGGCTTCTGGGAAGTGTGGTTTTGTAGGCGCGTAGGTACTGGCGATTTGTGTCCCTGACACCCAAGAGTCTTGAGAAATCCCGCTCTGGTGTGGGCTCCGCCCTTGGTGCACTCCGCGGTAGTCTCGTGCCAGGCGGCGGTATTCTCCGTCCTGGAAGCTGGAAGGACTTTGGGCAGTGCAGTTCCCAGCGGCCATTGTCAGCTCGCAGCGACCCGGCGCGTCCCGTACGCGGTGGTGCCCGCTCTGGACGTCCCCGCCCGGTCTTCGGGCCGGCTGAGGATTCGGGCAAGTGTGGGTCCTGGGTGGGAGGCCGGGGCCGGGTGCTTTGCACGGCCTCCAGACCTTGGTTCCAGGGTCTTACCCTGCTGGGTAAACCCAGGCAGGGCCATACCTTTCTGGGCCTCTCTGTCCTGCTCTGCAAAAGGGGCATCAGGATGGCGCTTACCTCATAGAGCTTCGCCAAAAGAAAATGGGCGGGTAGGTGTACACAGTACGCACTGAAAGAAAATGCCATCTGCGGTTCTCATTATCCAGTCAGAAAGCTGACGCTTTCCAGTTGTATCAGGTTGAACAAGTTGCTTCAGTATCGCCAAGTTTCAGTTTTCTCATCGTTTAAAAAGGAAATCTGGAATAATGTGATTGCGCACCATGCACAGAGTGAAGATTTAACGAGCTCATATTTAACATTATTATTACTGTTGCTTTATGAGTTTGTCTCTTAATGTATATAAAAATTGATTTACACGCAGGTGGCACCTGGTAAATGGTTATGTCGTGCCAAGGAACACTCTCTAAGTACAGGGAAAAATTGGAATCCTAGAAAATGATTCTCATTTTGCTTTTCCATTAGGCATGTCACAGAGCTGCAAGATAGCCTGATTTTCGTGACTGCTTTTTCCTGTTCTTGATCTGCCTTCTCAGGACACTGCTCTTCTATAAGACAAGAGCCTGGAAAGAAGACTATATTGACTACTGGAAATTGCAAAATCATGTTCCAGGTAAGTTGGTATGTCCCCAGATCTTCCTGGAACACCTTATCAGGATTCTTGAGTGTTTGCTTTGCTTCTCTACCAATTCACACCTAACAAAGTCCTTTTAGAGATTGGACTCATGATTCCTTTCATTATAGCAAAGGATGGAGCCCACAGAAAAACTCCAAAATACTATCGTCTTTCAGTTTCTCCTCTCTTCTGCCAGTTTTCTGCCTTTTTAGAGTCTTGAGCAAAACTTTAAAATTACAATTCAAAATTCAAGTTTGGAGATTTAGGTTATTTGCTTTATAGTTGTCAGAGCTCTGTCATGTAGTCTCAATGGTATATCAATCCTTTCAGTTGTTCAAGTGATGTTTGGAGTCATCTCGTTTCCTCCCTTTCTCTTATAGCTCACATTCAGACACTCTAGTTGGTTCTAAAATATATACAAGATATAAACAGAATCTGATCATTGGTTACCCCATCACCGCCACCACCACCACTGCCACCCTGATCCAAGCAACCTAGATTATTGCAGTAGCCTCCGAGTGGGATTCTCTGCTTCTGCCCTTGACTCTCTTTAGTCTCTTCTCAATACAGAGATGCTCTTGTTATATAAATCCTGTTATTCTTCAGCTTAAAACTGTTCACTGGCCCTAACTCAGAATAGAAGTCAGAGTTCTGTAGTGACTGAAAAAGCTTTGTACATTTAGGCTATTACCTCTCCGATATCATCTTTCTTCTCTGTCTACTTGTTCCCTGTAGGCTCCAGCCACACTGGCTACTGCCTCCAGGCCTTGGAAGTTGCTGTCTCATCTGCTTGGTGTATTCTTTCCGTAGATGTGCACAAACTTGCATTCTTACTTTCTTTGTGTCTTTGCTCAATGGTTCTTTCTCAGTAAACCTTCCCTGAACACCTATTTAAAATTGTCAGTCACCTTTGAACTGTCACTTCCACTCCTCCATCACTGTTCTGCTGTTTGTCAAAGTGCTTATCACTCACTAGCTGATAGACTATATGTTTAGTATATTAATATGTTCATTATTTGTCTCCTCACACTGGGAGGGATTTTTTTCTTTTTTATTAACCCAAGGTGGTAACTGGCACAAAACAAATGCTTAGTAAATAGTTGTTGAGTGAATGAGTGATGAAAAAATGATAGGCAGAATCATGGGGTGGAAGATGAAGCCTGCACAGGACAAGGTATGAGTGGCAGATGTGCATGTTGGGCCAGGTCTGGTTTCTTGGGAGTATTAGATAATTAGAATTGAAAAAAAATATTTTTTTTAAAAGTAAAAGCTAAAGTGAACTGATTGCCAAAATCATTCATTGATTCATTTCCTACACATTTATGAAGTACCTGTTAGGAAGAATTTTACATAGTTTTGGGTGTACACTGACATGCAAGACCTCATGTGCAGTACTGTTTAAGAGACTTTTCTACAGTGGTAGAAATATTCTAAATGTGTGCTGTCCAGTACGGTAGCCACCAGCCCCATGTGACTATGGTGACTATTGAGTACTTGAACTATGACCAGAGTGACAGGGGAACTGAATTTTAAAATTTATTTATTTTTTATTAATTCCCTCTTTAATTCCCTGTCCCCCGACACTTCACCCCTGACCCATGAATGTTGCCGTTTCCTCTTAAGAACTGGATCTCTGAAGGCGGGGCATCTCCGCCCCCCTCCATGCGCTCATAGCACACACCCGGGGCCTGGTGCACCCAGGACCCGGTGCACCCGGAGTATGGTCCATGGCTCCATCTGGGGCGTGAACCCAGGACCTTCTGCGTGTAAAGCAGACGTGCTAACCGCTACACTATGGAGCCACCCCAAAATTTATTTTTTATTTAAATTTATATAGCCAAATGTGGCTAGTGGCAACTGTATCGAGTGGCACAGGACTGGTAGAAAAGTAAGAAAGCATAAGAAATTAAGATAGGTACTAGAACAAATATCCTGAATTTTTCTGGGGACAAAGATGAATGAACATCCCTGGCTGCCCAGGCAATTGAAGGGGAAGAAAGAAGAGAAGCATCCCTGGGGAAGCAGGGCTGGAACTGATTTTGGTGGCCCATAGTACCTGGGAGGCAGAGGTGGAAGCAAAGTTATACTGAACTGAGAGAACACTTTGAGCACAGGTAGAGATGCCTAAGAGAGTCTTTGAAGGAACTGCAGTTGTTCTCAAATGAGATTTTGTTCCCCTTGACCCTACCCTTAGGGCACATTTGGTAATATTTAGAGATATATTTGGTTGTCACAACCATGTTGGGGGAGGAGGGGAGTTGCTACTAACATCTAATGGATAGAGGCTAGGGATGCTGCTAAACACCCTACGATGCACAGGACAGCTCTCCACAAATAAGAATTATCCAGCCTAAAATGTCAAAGTGTCAAGGTTGAGAAACCATGATCTAAATAAAGAGCAAAGAGTATTAATGAGATTATGTGAGTTTTCTTCTCTAGACTTTTAATACAATGCCATTCATTAGTGTGTTCAAAACTTAAAATATGAAATATCTTTGCATCGGTAGAATAAAACATAGTATTTTATGCATTTAATATAGTGTTAGCAAGAGTAAATACAAATGGAAAAAATAATTTTCCTTGGTGCCAAAAGGGAAAAAAGACCTTCTCGCTCTTCCTTAGAGTATTTCCTTGAGAAAAATCTGTAATTGTAAATCTTTTCCGTCCCCTTGAGATGCTCATAACCTTCTTCAAAGGAAAATAAGCCTCTGCCAGTTTTACAAGGCAGTAAAGTCTTTCTTAGGGCCTTGGAGCCATCTCTTTGAAATGCAAACAAAAAGGAAGATGTGCCATTAATTACCTATGTGGGAGTTTGCCTAGGCTCCTGGCTCCAAGTTCTAACTACCTGCTTGTCATAATGATATGAGAAGTTTTATTTTTCTTATTACCAGGTGAATTTAGGATGAAGTATTTGTAGCAAATGATGCTATTAAATCCTCTTAGTAGAGGACAAGTTATCATTTATTTTGAAAGCATATATGTAATGGATTCTATCTGCCTGGCTTTATGAAAGGGTGAAATTTCTTTCTGTCCTTAGAATCTTGTTAATGATTGCCTGTCAAATGCATTACAGTCTGGTTTAATGCTTATTCAATAATAAAACCTGTCTCATTTCTATATCATAGAAAGGATTTTCTGCTTTGCAGATGTGGTTTTTCAATTACCTAGCGAAGGTAAATTCCTACTTTGAAACCAAAGACTAGTATCACTGGTAAACATACATGCAAAATATCCCAATAAAGTAATAGAATGTTGAATCAACTACTCGTGGGGTGAAAATTTACCATAGCCAGACAATATCTATTTCACCATTGAAAGATAGTAGTAATGCCGTTTTACATGCGTACATTTTTACACATAATATAATTTGACTAGCCAGTAAGCTATTATTGAACATCGAAGCTTTTTCTAAAGTTTTGCTATTTTAAATAATACCATGAATGGGTACTGTTGAGGAGAAATCTATTGCCTTAGAAATTCGCCCTTTTATTCTTTACCTTTATTTTAAAGTCCTTCTCAAGGTCCGCCTATGGCATGAAACCATCCTTCAGTCTTCTTGCCCAGGGGTCGCAAATTATTTTAATTATAGATTGATTATTAATACAGGGTTTAAGTATATACCGTAAATGTTTTTCTTTTTGTTTATCTCTGATATAAAAAAAGTCTTTTTTCTGAACCCATTGGATTCTTCTTCTTTTTTTTTTTTAACCATAGTGGATCATCATTTTTTATTATTTACTTAGCATGTAGCTATAAAAAACACTACTAAACACTTGACTATGTGCTGTCAAATGTTGAAGGCTGATTTTAAATATTTTTATAATTCTATTCTCTGACCAAATTAACCCTCCTGAAGCAAAGCCCTATATTTGTCTCTTACCCTTTTGTACAACAATGCTAAGAACATAATTATCCAATTATTACTTAACTTAGATCAGAGTTCTGATTAATGTCACAACTGCTGAATCTTATTCCCTTTCTTCAACCAGGGTAATTTGACCCCTGTCCAGTGACAGAAAAGGCCTGGGCTATGGGTGAGCCTAGTATATTTGCTGTTTCAGGTAACATTTAGTGATGTGGCCATAGACTTCTCTCACGAAGAGTGGCGATGGCTAGATTCTGCTCAGAGGAATTTATACAAGGATGTGATGGTCCAGAATTATGAGAATCTGGTCTCTCTAGGTAAGCATCTCTCTCCCTCCACCTCAGTAGAGGAGATCTCCCATTTGCCACTCTGAATTAATGGAGACCCTCCTGAGTAAATGGCTGAATTTCTATTCCATGTTCCCAAGGAAATGTGTAGTTCTGTTGTGCCCTGACTGAAGCTTATCTTCCCGTTTCAGTGAACATCCTTCAAACCATCCTTTGGTCCTTTTTGTAATGATGGCTTCTCTTCCTTGAGGTCCACGGCTTAAACAAGTTCTATATTTTTCCTGTAAGCAGGTCTTTCTATACCTAAGCCATATGTGATCACTTTATTGGAGGATGGGAAAGAACCTTGGATAGTGGAGAAAAAACTGACAAAAGCTATGTTTCCAGGTAAGTTATGGTGAATCAGGCAAATTAGGTCTTTGTTAAAGATGCTTGTAGAAAGTGCCCGGTGGGAAAGTGGGGCATTTTAGGATATTTTAGAGAGACTGTCTTCAGAGATTCCCAAATGTGACAAAAATTTGGAATCCTTAGCCTAGATTTCAAAATGACCATTCCTCCATCCCAAATTATTTTGTATTACTCATGTCATCAAATTAAAAGTGGAGTTTTCTGCCATCATGATCATTCAAATTGTTATTTTATTTGAAACAAAATAAGGCAAATTACTCTTTTTAAGTACACTTAAAAAATATACCGACAGTTTTAGGTTAAGGAAAGCTGTCAATTAGAAAATCAGTTTTCCACTAAGGCTGAGTTTCAAAGATCAAATACGAATGTAAATGTTAAAGGAAGTAAGGAATGTATGAGACGGTCTCTAAAAACAATATTTTCTAATGTCCAATAAATAATATGATTTCACACAGATCTAATTTTAATCCAATTCCATTTCTACCATAGAAATTGCTTTTCAAGAAGTACCAAAAAAGCAGTGTTTTGCTTTCTTGATATATTTCAGGTTGGGAATCAAAATGGGAAAACAAAGAATTATCAGTGAAGGAGGATATTTGTGATGAAGATTCACACCAAACGGTAATAATAGAAAAAATTATAAAAGTCATGAATTTTCAAATTTTAACAAGGACTGGGAATATATAGAGAAGTTGGAGGGGAAGCATGAAAATCAGGTAGAGCATTTCAGACCAGTGACTCTCACCTTTAGAGAAAGTCCCACTGGGGAAAGTGTTGACAAATACAATACATTTAGAAGCATCTTCTATTTAAATTTAAAGTCTGTTCTTTCTGAACCACAGAGAATGTCTGCTGGAGTGAAATCACATAAACATGATATATTTAAGAAGAGTTTACTGAAAAAATCACTTATAAAAAATGAGAATGTCAGTGGTGGGAAGAAACTTTTGAATTCTAATGAAAGTGTGGCAGCCTTCAACCAGAAGAAATCTCTTACCCTTCACCAGACTTATAATAGAGAGAAAATCTACACATGCAGCGAATGCGGGAAAGCCTTTGGCAAACAATCAATCCTTAATCGCCATTGGAGAATTCATACAGGAGAAAAACCCTATGAATGTCGTGAATGTGGGAAGACTTTTAGCCATGGCTCATCCCTTACTCGACACCAGATAAGCCATAGTGGAGAGAAACCTTATAAATGTATTGAATGTGGAAAGGCCTTTAGCCATGTCTCCTCACTTACTAATCATCAAAGCACTCACACTGGAGAGAAACCATATGAATGTATGCACTGTGGAAAGTCTTTTAGTCGTGTTTCACATCTCATTGAACATCTGAGAATTCATACTCAAGAAAAACTCTATGAGTGTCGAATATGTGGGAAGGCCTTCATTCATAGGTCATCTCTCATTCACCATCAGAAAATTCATACTGGAGAGAAACCTTATGAATGTAGTGAATGTGGAAAAGCCTTTTGCTGTAGTTCACACCTTACTCGACATCAAAGAATTCACATGATAGAGAAACAATTCGAATGCAACAAATGTCTGAAAGTCTTCAGTAGCCTCTCATTTCTTATTCAGCATCAGAGTATTCATACTGAAGAAAAACCCTTTGAATGTCAAAAATGCAGGAAGTCCTTCAACCAGCCTGAATCACTGAATATGCACTTGAGAAATCACACTAGATCGAAACCTTATGAATGCAGTATATGTGGGAAAGCCTTCAGTCATAGGTCATCCCTGCTTCAACATCACAGAATTCATACTGGAGAGAAACCCTATGAATGTATTAAATGTGGGAAGGCCTTCATTTATCACACAACATTTAGAAGACACATGACAACGCACACTGGCGAGAAACCAAGAAAGGTACAGAATTTGGGAAAAGCTTCAGTAATCCCATTTCCTTTCGAAAGCATGAAATAATTACCTGTATAAAAACTCTTGAATGTAAACAGCTTGGGAAAGACTAATTGGTCCGCATTTTTACATGTGAAAATTCCTATGAAAAAGAAATTAAAATGTAGGTAATGTAAGAAAGCTTGATAGAAATTAATTCAGGTGTAAGTGACAGAAAACTTTCAACATGAAACGTTTATTATTAGTGTTGTAAACATATTGTGTATATTGAACCTTTTTTTATAGTGCATCATTGGACTGGATTTCTATTAATTTCAGAAATGAATATTCATGTGAGATATTTCTGAGAGTTGTCTTTCGACAATAGTACATAAGATAAATAGTGCTTTTTTCTTGAAGTATTTAATAGTTCTATCGATTGTTAGCTAAGCCTATTAGATCCATGGTTGAATTGAAGTATATTTTTTATATGTTGTTAGGCTAAATATTTTTTATAATATTTTATTTTGTTTTAGGGGGCTATTGAAAAATGACAGTTTGGTATTTGGGTGTTCCTAGTGACTTTTTCTAGTTGCCTAGTGGCAGTCCCTCTTAACACAGCTCCTTTTGGTGGGGGCGGGGGGGTGGGGATTGTGAATGCAGTATATGTGGGAAAGCCTTCAGTCATAGGTCATCCCTGCTTCAACATCACAGAATTCATACTGGAGAGAAACCCTATGAATGTATTAAATGTGGGAAGACCTTCAGTTGTAGTTCAAACCTTACTGTACATCAGAGAATTCATACTGGAGAAAAGCCATATAAATGTAATGAATGTGGGAAAGCTTTTAGCAAAGGCTCAAATCTTACTGCGCATCAGAGAATACATAATGGAGAGAAACTCAGTAGTGCAATAAGTGTGGAAAAGCCTTTAGGACATGTGAATCACTATACATGTGAAAGATCACATAAGAGAGAAACTGTATGAATGCAGTATTTGTAATAATACACTTCAGCCATTGATCCTCCCTGATTCATTATCAGAAAATTTATATCGGAGAAAAGTCTTACGAATGTGATGAATGTAATGGGGGAGGTCTTTAGCAGAGGTACAAGCCTTATTGTTCATCAGAATTCACACTGTAGAGGAATCATGAAGGCAATAAATGTGAGAATGCCTTTGGCCAGTATTAATCCCTTAATTGACATAAATAAATCCACACTGTATTTACTGTTACATATATGTAACAATTATGAGAAAGTTTAGGCAGTGTGACTCATAAAACATGTATAAACATGTACAGGAGAGAAGCAGTATGAATATAAAAGTTGTGGAAGGTCCTTCAGTTGGAGTGCATCCCTCATTCTACATCAGAGAACTCACACTGAAGAGAAAGCTTATGTAAGAAATGGAGCAAAGTGTTCACTAAGTTCTTATTTTTCTAGACATCAGAAAATTAATGCTAGAACAACCTGAAGGATGTAGGAATTATGTGTAAATCTTTGCAATGATGCCATTTGTAAACAGTTCCACAGAAGAGCAGACAAGCATATTATAAGTGAATATACATTTCTTACAGCAGTAGCTTGCAATTTTACTTGACTCCTACATAGAAATGATCTTTAGTTGGCATGTGAAGATATTTAGTCACCCAGTGGATCCAGTAAATGTTATAAAGTTGGAAAACTAAAGCTGCAAAAGAAATAAAAAGTGGTGTGAATAAAATTCTTGGTCTCTAATAAAATCATTTGTATATAATGAACTCTTTCACTGTGACATTGATATTTCTTGCAAAATTTCCTACTAATTTTGTCTTGAAGAATTAAGACCAGCCTTACTATAGCCTTTTATGGAAGACTAGCAGACCTATGGAAAAAGCTTGATCTCTGTGCTAAGAATATTATTATTTTGGTAAGGATAATTCACAGTCCACTTCAAGTTGGATTAATTCATACATTTTAAGTTTTACAAGTACTGTGAGAACATAACCAAGAAACAACATACTAAAATCAGAACAGGCGTAACTGTGGATGTGCTTTTTAATCTGAATCTTAAAGGATGAGTACTAATTATGTAGCTTTGAGCACACACACTCTGGCGGTCATTCTAGGCAGAGCAGACAAGTTCTGTCATGTTTGCTACAATAATCTATATTGGACTCCTATAATCCACTGTCTGGTTTCAAGTTTTGTAGCTTTGAGGTATTATTGCTGGCAGCATCACTTAGTAACAACAGCAGTCACTTCTCAATCCCTGGATCATAGTTATAGGGGGTTTACCTTGAAATTAATAGTTTAGAGCTGTCTCCATTACTTCTCCAGCCTGCCTACCACTTTTGAAAGCATTAATTTTCTGCAGTACATGTCTCGAAATGGTTAAGAGAATTTTTGTTTACTCCACTGAACCTTGACAGATAATTATGGTTTGTAAGGAGGATGGCTTCAAATATTCTAAGTTGTGGATAAATAGAATTGTCTTACTGGCTCCCATGTTTTCCCATCTTGTGACTAGAAGGGTAACAGATCAATGACTAGGATTATGTGGACACTTGCAGGTAAATGGCAGTTCATGTAGTTTATATTTCAGATTATGTTCTTTGGTGTTTGATAATTGTCAATAAGAAATTATTTTAAATAGGAATATTATATCACTGATATAATACTGGTGTGGACTGAGTGATAGGGTTTCTGACTTTAGACAAAATACCCTCTTACTCCAGTACATATGCTACCGTAACTGAAAACTAAGAGGTGAAGGCACATTCCGTAGCAATTCTCAATAGAGTTAGTTTGGAATGGAATGATGAATTTTTAATATTAAGCAAAGATTTATCTTTCCTTCGTAGTCATGAGATTTTGGAATTCTAGGGAATGTTGAAGGATGAGGAAACATGGCATGGTATCAAAGTTTAAGAGCTGGTATAATTATAGATCTCTCTCTTTCATTTATATATACCTATAGATATAGATATAAACATAGGTATCTATATAGATATATAGATATATATGGAGAGAGAGAAGAAGAGAGAGAGAAGGAATGCCTGCTGTGGGATAATGTCAGTAGCTTTCTGTTTCACTCTCTGTCCCTCTGCTCTCCCAAGCATTGGTGCTGCAAAGATGAAGTAGTTCTTTAATTCCTCAGATTTAATTTGCTTTCACTACACAGTTTTATGCCATCTTGTTATTTTGTTATTAGGGGATGTATCCAAATACCTGTACTTTGCCACTTAAAAAGCATGAGCATACACATAATGTTTTACAACACTTTATTTAAAATGTCTTCACAGTGACACTAGTTTTAAATAGTGAAGGTTTTAAGAAAGCAATAAATATATTACCTTGTTATGGTAAAATATTAGGCTGAGATCATAATGTTATGATATCGATGGAAAATCATGCTCAGTCATGTCAATCACTTCTGGAGCATCTACTGTGGACCAGATAAATAAGACATACTCTACACCTTTTGGGAGCTCAAAAGTGCATGTGCATGCACACGTGTATGTGTGTATCAAGAACATAGCCTCTGCAGCCAAGGTCCTTGGGTATGTATCCAAGTTGCATGTATACAGGTTTTGTATGACATTGGACAGATTACTTCACCATGCTTCAGTTTCCCCATCTGTAAAATGGTGATAATAACACCTATCTCATAGTAGTAGTATCATGGTTAAATGAGTTAACTGGTGTAAAATGTTTATGATGGCTGGCACCTCAAAAACATTCAATGAGTATTAGCTATTTTCATCAGCATTATTTATGTGGCTGTTTCGTCATCCTGGTCTCAAATGTTACATCTTCTAGTAGGTCTTCCTAATCACCTGTCACTCTTTTCTGCTTACTGTTTCACTTTTTATGGGGCTCTTACAAGACACTCCCATCCCCTTCCAACAAATTCTCCTTTGGTCTTTTAGCCATTTTGAGGGGGAATATATTTATTACCCAAAATGCTCTGAGGAGACGAGCACCTTATAGAAGGTGAGACAAGAACACAGCAGGGCTGCAGGAAGGAGGGAGGGTGCCTTACAGAGGTGGTTTGGAGAAAGGGCAGAATGAAGGAGGCTTCAGGTCCTCATATGGAGGAGAAGTGAGGCTTTAGCTCATGAGATGAGAGGCATGAAAGACTTCAGCATCAGTTAGTACCAGATCGTCTGGGCTGAGTGCAGCTGCCCTCACTGTTCCTGAAAAGAGGTTATGACCATGTCATTGAAGGTCGCTGATGCCTGGAAAGTCCAAGTAGCTTCAGTAGCCTTGGACTAGTCAGATGTGCAGAATGTTGTGCAGTCATTGGTAAAAACCCTGAAAGAACTAGAGCATATTTCATTGAGTACTTTCTGGGAGATGCTCTGTGCTGAGCATTAAGGGGGAGTCAGACACTGTCTTTAAACAGGATGCAATTTTGTTAAAGAGACAAAAACTGCCTATAAAGGAGCCACTGATGAAAGACAATGAAAAGGTGGTGTGGCTTGAGCGGCACAGAAAGTAAAGAGCTCTGACATTAAAGATATTGACTAGGTAAAGAGGGTCAAATATATGGTGACAAAGGGAAATTTGACTTTGGGTGATGAAAACAATATAATATACATATGACATTGAATTGTACACTTGAAACTTATACAATTTTATTAACCAATGTCACCCCAATAAATTTAATAAAAAGGCAAATATTGTAAGGGAAAGAATTCTAACCATAATATGGTTAGCAGCAGCAGCTGAGCCTCATGGGTGTGTACCTGCACTGTATACTGTACACTTGCACTGTATACTGAGTATTTTTATGCATCATTCAAGAAATTAAGTGTTCCCAGCTCTGGACCCAAATTCTTGGGTTTGAATCAGCCTGTGAGACTGACACTTGCCCTGGCGAAGTTGCTTCATTTGTCAAGCCTTGATTTTTGTATTAAAAAAAAAAATTCTCACTCTTCCAAGTAGTTGTGAGAATTAAAGACATAATATTCATAAAGCAAACAATGGGGTGTTTGGCAGTGTAAGTTGCTGGGTATGTTCTTTTATTAAATGGAAAGGTAGTTGTAACACTATCTCTTTGCGGATGACATGGTCCTATATAAAGAGAATCTCAAAGAACTCACAAAAACTAATAAGGCTAATAAATGAACTAAGCAACATTGCAGGAAAAATCAATACCCCCAAATCATTTGTGAACTTATAGAACAGCAATGAACAACCTCAAAAGGAAATGAGGAAACTCATTTACAGTAGTGCCTACAAGATTATCTAGTAATGAATTTAACCAAAGTGAAAGACTTGTAAGTGAAAACTAAAAAAACTGCATGAAATTAAAGAAGACCCTAAAAAATGGAAAGATACCTCATGTTCAAAAGAAAGTAAGACAAAATTGCTAAGATGTCAGTGCTAACAAAGATACATACGGATTCAATGCAACCTCTATCAAAATTCCAACAGCCTTTTTATTTTTGCAGAAATCTGAAAGTCAGTCCCCAAATTCATATGGAATTGCAAAGGGCCCCAGATAGTCAAAACAAACCTTAAAAAGAAGAGTAAAGTTTGAGGACTCATACTACCCAACTTTAAAATGTATTATAATGCTACAGTAATTACAACAGTATGGTACTAACATAACAGACATACAGACCAATAGAATAGAATAGAGAACCCAGAAATAATCCTTCACATATATGGCCAATTAATTTTCAACATGGATGCCAAGACCATTCAAGGAGAAAGGACAATCTCCGAAAAAATTGAAGAAAAGGCAACATTTCCTAACTCATTCTATGATGCCAGAATTGCCTTAATACCAAAATCAGACAAAGACACAAGTAACTTACAGACCAATATCCCTTATGAATATGGATGTAAAATATTAGAAATACTAGCAATAGGCATATCTCCAAAGAAGACATATAAACGGCTAATAAGCACCTGAAAAAATGGTCAACATAATTAGTCATTAAGGAAAAGCAAATCAAAACCACAGTGAGGTACCACTTCATACCACTAGGATGTCTACAATAGGAAAAAGGAAATAAGTGTTGTGGAGAAATTGAAGTTATGCTTCCATTTATCAGACACAACATCTACCCAATGCAAATAGGATGGAAAAATTACCATTATTCATACACATGGTGTAGCCATGATAAGGATCCATTTTATTAAAAACATAAAAGCCAATCACAGTGATCACTTGAGCCCCCATGAGACATACACAAAGACAGACCCACAGGGGCCGAAATGCAGAGGATTGAGAATTCTTGATGGCCCTTCGGAGGATTTCACCTTTTATAAGCATTGCCAGAGTTGTCAGTTTACATTTGTTCAAAAGTAATTTTTTGCAAGAACGTCAATCTCCCCACTAGAAAATTTACAGGAATACAAAAATGCTCCTAAATCACTCTGACATCCAATAAAAAACAAACAGTGATATACAGAAGCAGGAAAATATAATCCCAAATAAGAAAAATCAATCATTCAAAACAGGTACATTATTACAGACAGTAAAAGTAGAAGACATTAAAACACAAAGAGGTACTCCATATGTCCAAGAAGCCAAAAGACTGAATACGTTAGAGATATGAAAGATATAAGGAAGATCCTAATCTAAGAGATAAAAATTATAACTTATGATATACAATACACTGGATGGGACTAAGCACAGAGTGAACATTGCAGAAGGAAATATTAGGAAATGGATGCAGTAGTAGAAACTTCAAAATAAAACTAAGAGAAAAAACTAAAAAAAATTAGTGAGCTATGAGACTTCAAAAGGACTAATACACATATAACAGAAGGCCCTGAAAGAGAGGTAGAGGGACAGAGAACCATTTGAAAAAAATAATGCTGGAAATATTTCCAAATTGTTGGAAACTATACACCCACAAAACAAAGTTCAATGAATGTCAAGCTCAAGAGAATATCACCAAGGCACATCATAAACAGTTGCTTAATCCAGTGACAAACAGAAAATCTTAACTGCAACTGGGGAGAGAAGGGAGATATTTAAGTGGGAAAAAGATAACAGCATATTTCTTGTTGGCAAAAATGCACAATATAGTTGAATAACTTTAAAATGTTAGAAGAAATGACCTGGGAAATATATTTCAAAAGCAAAGCGAAATAAAGGCAATTTCATGTACTATACAAAGATTGAAAAAATTCAGTGCCAGCATACTTTTACTATAGAAAATGTGATTTTCCTTCCAGAAAAATGGTACTTGAAATGCCAAAGGAAAACCAAAAGAATGAAGAGCACCAGACACAGTCACTACATGGGAAAAATAAAGATTTTGTTTATTGACATTTAAATCTCTTTAAAAGATAATCAACTGTTTAAAGAATCATAACCATTTGTTGTGGGGTGTATGACATGGAGAAGTAAACATCCAGTAACGGCACAAAGAACAGGAGGCAATAAACAGAAATTACTGTTGTTTTTATGCTCTGTGTGAAGTAGTTTAATATCACTGAGAGTAGACCGTAATAAAGATGCATATCAGGGGTCAACATACTGTAACTCAGGGGCCAAACTTTGTCTACCACCTGTTTTTACATGGCTTATGAGCTTAGAACGATTTTTACACATTAAATGCTTAGAAAAAATTGAGGAGTACCACTTCATGACACGTGAAAATTATTTGAAATTCGAATATTTCCATAAAAAAGTCTTAGTAGATTCTAGCCACATTCTAACTTATATATTGTCTATGGCTATTTAGGTACTTCAGTGGCAGAGGTGAGAGGTTATGGAAGAAATGGCATGTGGCACTCTCACTGCATCACAATGCCACGTGTGCACAACAGTTGCAGTGATGCAGTTTTAACTTAAAAGCAGGTCGAATGACACACTATGTTTCCTACACTGGCATTATGTTTTATTTCTGTTACCAATGTACATCCATCATGTCAAAATAAGAACAGAAAAGTGGACTTCAATTGTCATGCTTTTAAGGCACAACAGTCAGTTATTTTGTTATTGAATTAGATGACATTGTGCTTAGTATGCAATAATGTTATAGCTGTAATAAAAATAAATTAACATTACTAGATAAACACTCACAAAAAATGGTCAGAAAAATAAGGAACTTTACAATGAAATATCACAGAAGGTACTTTGTGAAAAATATTTGAATCTATTGTGTCTGTAAGCAAGTACTGTCAATGGTTTTATTCATTCACATGGCCTTAACCATTATCAGTTCTAGGAATTTTGGCTGAAATAAACTAAGTATTCTGAATTGTTCCATGATACAGGAAGTTCGGTTGCTTAGTAGTGGCATTTTATTATGATTTTTAAACTTAGCGCCAAGAATAAAATTTTCTGAATGAGAAGAATTACTTTCAACCACTATTACTGAACACTGTATACCTGGAAATTAGGTTTTGATTCTAACTTGATGTTTCCTAATAAATTCAACCTAAAATTACAAGGCAACATGTACTTACACGTAAAAGTTAAACTGCAGTAAAGTCTTTTCATCAAAAATTAACCTTGTTTCAATCACAATATTATCAGCAGCTTTATACACGTCTCGTGCTGACAATAGTTATAACAAGGAGAAATTCACTGAACACACGTTTGTATTTGACATATTTCCCAAACTCAAACTACAATTCCCTCATTGATTTTCAGACCTTGAGGCAAGTGCAAAGAAAATTTCCTTATTTAAAAATCCATTTAACTGTGCCACTGAGAAATTTTCACTTTGATAGGAAATCACCTGAATTGGAAGTAATCTGCAGTGTAATTACATGAAAAAGGCAAATGTCAAGAGAAGAATCTAATGGAATTCTATACCTGTCCCCCAAGTGATAAATGTGCTCTATTTAAATTGTATGCTTATGGACTACTGTCAGTATTTGACAGTACTGATGTCTGTATAGAGACATTTTAAAATATGAAATAGATAGTAACATTTTATGAGTGTTATATTGCATTGGATTAAAATTCATTGCAAATTTTTTAAAAAATGAAGTAGGTAAATTCAGATTTGCATTAACAGATGAACGTTTGTAACCTATTTTGATAAGAAATAGTAACTTTTATCTCTAGTTAAATGAAATGTTAGCTCCTCCTAAAATAATATTCATCACATTGGTATACCTATATTAGAAAAATATATAATCATTATTATATTTTGAGTTTTTTAAATTCAAAATGCATCATGATGATCACTTCTTTAGGTATATAAATGGTGAATAACTATGGTGTATACTTGAAACTAATGGAATATTGTATGTTAGCCATAATTTAATATAAATTTTTAAAAGAAAAAAGAATTAAAAATGTATAGAAATTCCTTTTCTCAATTGTTATATATGTGTTAACATAATATCTTTGATTTTGTCCCCTGGCCTAAAATATTTACTCTTTGGCCAATTAGAGAGAAAGTCTCCAACCTCTGATGTAAACCATAAACTCTAAATCAATTGCCAAACTTAAAAAAGGTAATAAATCAATAAAAGGAGATAAAGAAGAATAAAAAACAATCCAAAGGCAGAATAGTAAATACTGAACCATTGCCACTTTGGGGAAATACAGCTTTGGGTTCCTGAGAGCCTCTGGTCACAACCACCAATTGGTATGTTATCTTTTACGGATTTTTTTTTTTTCTGTTTAAAGACACTTTATTTAACATATGTTTCTTACAAATAAATTATATGCAGTATTTCATTATAATAAAATATTTCAATTAAATCATTTTGGTAATGTACTTTTATTGTACTGCTTTAACTTTCAGTCATACACACAAACAGTACATATGTACAGTACTCAGACAATAAAACAGAAACACTGCCCAACACTGTGAATACATACACTATGCTATTCAGTACAGTCACGTAAAGAATTCCTAGGAAAAAAAAAATTAAAGATTAACTATTTGTGATACTTTTTTGGCCTGAGAAGTATCTTACTCAGTATCTGATAATTCATTCTGAAGATAAACATTATAATTGTCATCCCTGTGAAAGCTTTTTGTGGCAGGTAATCACTTGTCATCTAAAGGGTCATTTGAGAAACTGACCCAGCCTAGAGCCTTACACTACACCTGAGATTTACCCATGAGAGAGACCCAGTGGTTATCAGGCATTTAGGAAAAATGTAAACAATAACTCTTCCCATGTTTATCTTACAGATCCATCTGGAGAATATTTTAAAAGGAGAGGTAGAGAGGGAGATGTAGAAGGGAAAGGAAATAGTGTGTGTAGCTTCTGATTTCCCTGCCATGCTGATAACAATTTTGAGGTGGGGTGACTGGGGTATGAAAGATAAAAAGCCCTCATTGCCTCTGTGTGTGTGTGTGTGTGTGTGTGTGTGTGTGTGTGTGTGATAACATCCAGAATCAGGAGAGTTGACCACTAAGGACAGCCCTGCCAACATTTATTAAAAGTACTCATTATTCCAACATTTTCATGTCTTTCCCTTGAGGAATGTGAGCAAGGTGATATGCAGACCCAAGCAACATGCAGGAGCCTTAGCTAAGTTTGAAGGAGGGGAATAGCAGTCCAGGAAAAGAGAGCCGCATATCTAAGGCCCTGAGGCCGGCAAGAACCAGGAAGAACCAGGTCAAGGCTCGTATGGCTTGACTGAGAGAATAGCAATTGATAATTGATGGAGTGGTAAGAGGACCAGATGCATAAATAGGGCACCATGGGAATTTGGATTCAGTTCTAATTTTTCTGTGAAACCATGTGATGATTTCAGCATTGACTGTTTTACATTTTGGTTAGAATTTCTCAAACTTCTAAACACTACATGTTTAACTCATTTTGGCTGCCTCCCTGCGTTTGTTTACCTGAGCTGGGCGCTCCAGAGGTTTATCCACACAGTGCACTGCCCATCACACATCCTGCAGCTCTATCAAAAGTAGAATATTAGTTAATATTCATCTTTAGTTATATTCAAAAGGAAAGGTATTTCACCGGAAGAGTTCACCAAAATTGACTGAGGTGAACACACTCGAAAAAACCTTCCTACACCTTTTAAACTCTGGTATGAATCTTTCGATGGTGAGTGAAAGATGAACTGTGGCTGAAGACCTTCCCACATTCACTGCATTCAAAAGGTTTCTCTCCAGTGTGAGTTCTCATGTGCTGAGTTAAGGCAAAGTTGTCACAAAAGGCTTTTTCACATTCTTTGCACTCATAGGGTTTTTCTCCAGTGTGGATCCTATTATGCCGAACAAAATTTGCAGGTTGGGTAAAGGCTTTTCCGCATTCTCTGCATACATAGGGCTTTTCTCCAGTGTGAATCCTCATGTGTCGATTAAAGGAAGAGCTATAGTAAAAGACTTTTGCACATTCTTTACACTCCAACGGGTTTTCTCCACTGTGTGTCCTGTTATGTCGGATAAAAACAGAGTGGTGTGTAAAAGCCTTTCCACATTCCCTGCACTCATAGGGCTTCTCGCTAGTATGAATCCTCATGTGTTGAATTAAGGAAGAGCTGTCACAAAAGGCTTTGCCACATTGTCTGCACTTAAAGGGCTTCTCTCCAGTATGGGTCCTCTTATGCCTGATAAAAGTGGCACGATAAGTAAAGGCCTTGCCACATTCGTTGCACTCATAGGGTTTCTCTCCAGTGTGAATTCTCATGTGTTGAGTGAAAGATGAGTTGAGGCAAAAGGCTTTTCCACATTCTTTGCACCAAAAGGGTTTTTCTCCCGTGTGGGTCATATTATGCTGGATGAAAGTGGAGCGGTGGGTGAAAGCTTTACCACATTCTTTGCACGCATAGGGCTTATCTCCAGTGTGAATACGCTGGTGCTCTGTGAGGTGAGACCTTCGTTTGAAGGCCTTCCCACATTCGATACACTTGTATGGTTTTTCCCCAGTATGAAACCTCATATGTCGAATAAAATCAGCCATATACCGACAGGCTTTCCCACATTCATTGCATTCATAGGGCTTCATTCCAGCATGAATCTGTTGATGCTGAATAAGAATCCAATTCTTGCTAAACCCCTTTCCACATTCCTTGCATTTGTAGAGGTTATTTCTCGCACCAGCCATAGAGTCTTTCCCTGGTCCTTGGGAATCATGTTCATGCAGAACATCTTGTGTAGTGACTTGTTCCTTTAATCCCCTTAAACACAGACTATCATCTGTCTCCAAATCATCATGTTTATGGCTGAGCTTCCTATGGCATGTCTCCTGGTGGGGGTCTGTTCCTGGCCTTAAGCTCTCTTCCTGCATTTCCGATAGTTTTTCCTGATCCCTCACTTGCCCCAACCTGGAATCCCTTGAGGCTCTCTGTGTCACTCCTTCCTTAAAAGCGGCTTCCTCAGTGAAGGCCAGCTGTGAGGCAGGAGGCTCTTTGGTCTCAAGTTTTGCTTTTTCACCTGAAGAAAGTCCAATACAAAAGAGGTATGTATTAGTGATGTCAACAAAGAATAAACAAAATCACTACCTTAGCGGAAGAATGAAGATGAAAAAGCAGCTTCTAATGCCTGCTGCTTTTCACATCTCTTGAACCCGGGTTTACAATTTCTTTCTTTACTGATCCTTGGACTCTTGAAATTTTCAAAAGGAAATCTAAGAGATGAAGCTGGGGCAGGGCATAGAGAATCTGGACTGGAGACTCCTCCTCAATCTCCAGAATGGGGGAAGGTGGGTAGAGTAATGCCTACATTGCGTGTAATGACTGTACTCTAAAAGAGGTTTTTTCATGGTGCTATGACAGCACAGGGAAGGTGCACCTAATTTGGCCCAGATGAGAGACAGACAGAGGTCAGTGGGGGCTACCTGGAAAAGGTGCTATATGGACTTATTTCTATAGGAGAGTAGAAAGTCCCAGACAGAGGAATCAGGAGGGAAATTGCAGCAAAGTACAAAGGTTCAGAGTCTTAAGAGACTGCTGAAAGCCAGACAAAGTAGTGGATGAGAGGATGGTGGAGATGAGCATGAAAAGGCAGGCAGGGACAGAAGAGCAACAGATTCTGATCTGTGTAAAAGTGGGGGAGGATAAGAAGCCACTGGGTAGACATACCAAATTTACTGTGTCTGAGTAAAGACTAGGTGAACAGACATAAAACTGAAAACATCTAGATGAAGATTATTATAAAGCATCTATAAAAATACATTTTATACTCACCTGACTGAAAAAACTTAAGAATCTGACAATGTCAAGTGTTGGAGAGGATGTAGATTCATGGACTTGTTCATACAATGCAGGTGGTGTATAAATATGTATAAATAACCATTTTAGACAACAACAGGGCATCATCGAGTAAAGTTCTCATTTTGCTTACCTTAGAATCCCCAAATTCCAATCCTAGGAACGTTACTAAGAGAAATTCCTACACACATGCACAAGAACACATGTATGTGAATTTTCATGACAGTACTGTTTGTGGGTACAAAAAAACTGAAAACAAGAAAATGCCCATGAAAATGGATGAATACGTTGTGTTACATTCATGTAACTGAATACAGAAGGAAAAAAATGAGTGAGCGATAGCTACATATATCATGAACCTTAGTAATATACTGTTGAGAAAAAAGTACAAATCTTTTAAGACAATATAAACTATGATATACTTTTTATAATGTTCAAATAAAGAAGCAACATATGCACATACACAAGTATGATGAAATAAAATATTTTTTGAGAGATCAGTTTTTAATGGCATTATAAAGATGATATGTACATATCTTAAATTTATTTTTAGTATTTTTGACTGTGGTAAAATATATACATGAGATGATATTTACCATTTTAAGATGAAACCAACTTAAAGAGTAATAGAATAATTAGATGAAGTTGATAAGTTCCTTAAAAGACTCAAATTATCAAAACTGAAAAAGAAAAATACAATATATGAATAACCTCATCTGTATCCAAAAAACAAATCTGGAATAACAAACCTTCCTAAAGTAATGGAATAATAAATCCAAAATAAAATGGTTGTCTATGTAGGGAGGCATCATAGGAATGGAAAAGGAAAGAAATACACTGATAGATGGAGGGAGTAGATAACTTTCTTATACTTAGGTGAATGGTTTGCAGGTATTCATTACAATCTTTTAAAGTAGAATAAACAAATACATGAATAAAATGAACTAAAATAATGGGACATGCATTGACTAATCATAATAGTATCATAAATCACAATTGCTGGTTTTTCTAAATCTGTCTGTCCCAGGGCAATTATAAAAGTTAGAGGGCCTACGCAGTATTTATTGTAATTATCTTTAGGATCTCTGAGATAAAGACCCCAGTCTGAAACTCCAGCAATATCTCACCCTAGTTCTGCGGCCTTTAGCTAGTCATTCAAATTCCTTTAGCCTTCTGAGAGGTCTGTCATGAGGATGAAGTAGGAGTGCATATACAGTGCTTAGTAAGGTGCCAGGCACCAAGTAAGCAATCAGTGCATATTAGCCATTGTGTCTACACTATGGAATCTAACACACTTGGGCTGAAGTTGATGGTATAAACATGAGTGAGTTCACCAAGAGAAAGTGTATAGACTAAAAAGTAAGGGCTGTGAGATTCTTGCTGAAGCTAACATTGAAGAAAGGATTTGAGTAAACATGATGATGGTGAAGGTCAAGTCAGAAGAAAGAGAAAACAAGAGCAAAATGTTACAAAGGACAGGCATGATAAATAATGTGGGAAAAGTATTTGCTGAGTTGACAGGCAGTATATCATCATGGTTGAAAGTGTGGTGTGTGAAGCTAGAATATCTCAGTTCCAATTCTGCCTCTACCAAGCTAGGTGTTCTTGGGGGAAATGATTTAGCTTTCTGTTATGAACTGAATGTTTGTGTTCTCCCCAAATTCATGTGTTGAAGCCCTAACCTCAAATGTGTATTTGAAGATAGGGCCATTAGAGAAGAAATTAAGGTTAAATGAGGTCATAAAGTTAGGGCCCCGATCTGATAGGGCTACTGTCTTTATAAGAGACACCAGAGAGCTCTCCCCTCTCTCCTCCAGTGAGCAACCCACCTAGGAAAGGCCATGGTCTCCTCCTCTTCTTATAAGGTCACTAATCCCGTCATTGGGGATCCACCCTCATGACCACATATAAACTCAATTCCTCCCAAAGGCCCCACCTCCTAACATGATCCCATTGGGGGTAAGGGCTTCAACCCATGATTTTTGAGAGAGTACAAACATTCGGTCCATAACAATGTTACATGAGAAAAAGCATGTAAACCAATTAGCAACAGTGCATGGCAACTGTTCAGTAAACTGTAGATCACTATCATTATTATAGCTGTTGCATTTGACAATCAGAATGTCAACAGCAACCTAAGAACATTTTCAGCGCTGAGGTGCTGAGAAACACCACTACTGGGCCTCAAAGAGTAAAGGAGAAGATTCCATTTGCTCAACAGTAGGTGGATCAATGAGGATTCTTACACATGGCTGGTGGGAATGTGAAACAGTGCAGTCACTTTGAAACAGTTTGGTGGTTTTTATTAAAGCTAATCATTATCTATATCATGATTCAGATAGCCACTCATATGAATATTCCCAACAGAAATGTGTGCTTGTAGCCAACTATAATCAAGACTATGCATAGCAGCATTCTTCATATTTTGAAAATGCAGACCAAATGCCTATCAACAGGTATATGCAATCTGTTCACTGAGATATTGCACAGTAATAAACGACCTCCAAATGTATGCAACCAAACCACATGACTGAATCTCACAGTCATAATGATCATCAAAAGAAGACAGACATGACAGAGTATTATGTACTGTGGGGTTCCATTTATAAACCTTTAAAACTAATCAATGGTGAGAGTCTAAACACTTTTGTAGAAGGGGATATTGACAAGGAGGGAGCATAAGAAGCCTGTGAGGCGCTGAGCATTTAGTATTTCTTGATCTGTGTGGTGGGTACTCTGGTTCATATGAACCTTTAAGATCTGTACATTCACTATGTGTAAATTACGCCTCAGTATAAAAATGAAAGAAAATCATAAACAATAGTACAGGGGAGGTCTAGAAGTCCTGTGTAAATGTCTTTTCCGAGAATGAGAAATCTCCTCCAAGAAGCTTGGTTTTTAGGTCAAGCAGAGTCAATGTTCAGATGCTGTTGGAAAGCCAAGAACACTTTTTGTTTTATGTTTCTCCCAAGTGTCAGAAACTTCACCATGTTTTTTATGTTGCGTAGAGAGAAGAGGAAGATATAGAAGAGGTAGGAAGTAAGTGAAGAAGCATGTCCCGATGCAGGAGACAGAATCATGTATGGCTTCTCACAATCCCTGCCTCATGGTGTTCACACACTTTTCTGATCCCCTCTGCCTAAATGCTGGCAGGACCTTGATTTGCTTCTGAAGAATAGAATATGACAAAGGTGACAGAATGAAGGAGATAACGTATATGTGTAGCATTTCCCTTTCTGGAGTCTCACACACCCTTACTTGATTTGAAGATGTGAGCTGACACGTCGTGAGCTGCTGATTACTGCAGCTTTGCAGAGGACGCACCTAAGCCGTGTTTGGACTTCTGATCCACAGACAAGAGATGATAAATCCACAGACGGGTTAAGCTGCTATGTTTGTGGTAATACTGCTACACAGCAATAGTTAACTAACACACCTGAGAAGGCAGGTGAAGGTCTCATCTAGACTTTGCGGGGAGAATAAGCCATGGCCGGGGATGAGAACTCTTACTCAGAGATGAGAAGGAAGCCGTAGGGATGAGTCAGTGAGAGTAAAAGAGCAAGAAAAGCAAGTGCATAGCCTTTATTTTCAACATGAAGTCACTCGTATGCCAAGATATCAGTGGCTAGGGAGATGGTGATATTTGGAATAAGGTGTGAGTGGATGGGAAAGTGAATGTGAGACATAGAGCTGAAGAGAGGCAAGGGGCAGATATGGGAAGACCAGTTAGGAATTTGTTAGCATCACGCGGGCAAGATGATGACAGCTTGCGCTGGAACTGATAGAACTGGCAAAGGTGATGGGTTCAGGAGATATGTAAAATGAGATATGATCGAGTTTTTGGTGATGGCTGGATATTGGGTATGATGAAGATAGAGGTGTTGAGAGGCTGTCCAAGTTTGTTACTGGCTTTCTCGACTTATTGAATGACAAGGCCATTAATTCAAAATGAGGTCCTTTTTAGGCATGGTGGGTGTGAGGTGCCTTTGCAACATTTAAGTAAAGACATGCAGTTGTGGAGAGGGGTGAAGGGGCGAAGTTTGACTCTGAGGGACTGAGAAGAGGATGGCCAGAAACGCTCAATGGCTGACTGAACAGCCTGAAGGGACACTAGAGGGGAGAGATCATGAATCCGCCTTGGTGCCGATTCACACACCTGATGGTTCCAGCTGCCCTCAGCAGTCCAGATGTGGGGAAGACAAGGGCAAATGTCCCCTTGCTGTTTTACAAGACAGGAGGGCAAGAAGATAACAGGACTAGAGATTCCTTCTGAATATCTGATTCACAAATGGATGGATGAATATATGCATGCATGGATGTATAGATAAATGATTGAATGGAAAGGTAGCAAAGAGTGGGATGCAAAATGTAATTGTAGGTAGTATTCTTTAAAAGAAAAAAGGACTGTCTTTTCTGAATCTGGAAAGAAGTTTGAGATGTCACTATTCATTATGACTAATAATACATGAATATTACTAATAGTAACTTTTGTCACACCACTTACTTTGGGTCAAGCAGTGATAAGCAGTGTTATCTAATTACATTCTCAAACAATCCAAAGATACAGTAACTGTTATTACTGTTTTTCTAACGTAGGCTAAGTTAAGGAGACTGAGTGTATGTGCATCATACTCATGGCTTCTGCTTGGGCACGAAACTAAACCACATTTCTCTGTCTGATACAACATGTAGCCTAGTGCCCAGTTCTTGTCCATGGAATGTGAATGGAAGTGATGTGTGCGTGCAAGCGGCTATGACTACTTCCCTTCTATTCTTCTTGGTCAGCTGTATGATGCCCGGGCAACCTTAAAGCCATGTATTGACAATATAATGCACTTTGATCCCTGGATTAAAAAAAATAAATTCTTGGATAATATGGTACGGAGTTCCCTGGCTAAACCACATTAAACATGACATGATGAGAAAAAAAACTCATGAATCTGTTGACCCACCAAGATTTTACAGTTTACCTTTTAAAGCAGGTAGCATTAACTCAGCCTAATTTGTATACCAAAAGCACAGAGAGATCATGCAACCTCCCTAGGGTCATGAGGCTGGTGAGTGGCTAAACATTTAGAGCATGTTTCTTATCTAATATACTACATTTCAACCCCAAAGAGTGTGATGGGGGTGGGCAAGCAGGGGAAACACAGATCAAAGTGCTCCACGACCACACAGGAAGACCACAAAAAGAAACTGCCGCCTGTGGAATTTCAGACACAGTGATCACCTGCCAACTGCCATGACACTCACCTGCCAGACTCTCAGTCACTTACCTGTACAGGTGCTTTCGGAGAGATCTCTCTTCACTGTCCATAGTTTTTGCCCAGGCTCCAGGAAGTATATCAGCTCTGGAATGGGAACCAGCTGCCCTGTGCATGTAGAAATAAGTGAAGCATGGGTATAAAGGCAAATACAAAAAGCAAAGTCTAAAGTATACAGGAGTATGCACTTATAACACACTACTATGAAACTCCAGAAAGGAGACTCCTTCTTCCAGAAGATTTTCTCTAATTAAATCAGTAGGATTCGATCTCCTCATGCATCAGAACTACCTAGAGATGTCTGGTTCTGAACACAGAACAAATTGAATCAAACCTCTGGGCATAAGGACTGAGTCTTGATAGTTTTTAAAGCACCCCAGGTGATTCTGGTAACCATGGGCAGCTAAAAACAAGACGAAATTAACTAGACTAAATTAACTGGTGAATGGCATCTACTGATGGTTGTCTGAGGTAAGCTGTGACCTAAAACTGCTACCTATTCTGAAGAAAAAGCCTTTAGTCCAGGCTGGGAAGGTAGGGCCAAATGTGGAGACCGGCAGCCCTACGTGCTGGTGCATCATCCTGTGCCTACTTCAAGGATTCTGGCCTGATGACCTGGAACAAGGAGAAAAGGCAGACAGGGAGAGAACTGGGCTGGCAACTACCAATCCAGGAGCTAGCACCACCTCAGGGCTTCTCGTTCAGTGAAGCAATAAACTTTTTTCAGGTTGAAATCTGTCTGAGGTGGTTTTTAGGTACATGCAGCCAAACAAATTATGCAGAGAAGTCAATGACTTCGGCACCAGTACCCACAGAAGCTTTGAGTAGAAAATCCTGTACTACAAGCCAGAATGCATCCAGTTGTCATTTAGCAAAATTTCACTGATGTCTCATATATGTTTGGCACTGAGCTCAGTGATGGGGCAGTACAAATAGTAAATGAGACCTTCCTTCATCTCTGTAAGGAACTGAGCTCACTATCCCCCAGAGACTTGACTTGTGTCGGTCCCTCCACCTGGAATACTGTTCCCCATATTTTCCCTTTCAACAACTAATCACAATTGTCATAAAATAACACAGCATTTACTGCCGTGATGACTGACCTCCTGGGAGAGACTATATGGATATGATGCTGGGAGAGCCCTGTCAGAGGTAACTATTTGGACATCGGGGAAAAGGGAGACCTCAGGCCTCCATTCAATTTGTATTCAGACTGCTTTCTGGGTAAACTGCACGTTTAGGATAATACACATGCAGCATTTACTATGTTCCCAGTTTTATTTCTAAGCATTTTAAAGATATTAGTTCACTTGGGCTAAATGAAAGAATACTATAAAAATATGATAAGATCAAAATAATCGTAGTCCCAGCAAGCTACTGCTGCCTGCTCAAGTTTGTGAGCCCTGCAGCTGTTCTGTCTGCTGAAGGGAAATGAGCCAACAGCCATAGGGGTGTTAAAGATGTAGCACAAAGCCCAGACTCTCTCAACAACAATCAAGAGGCAGGAAAGGAAAGAGAAACAGCTTTCTCAGATGCCCATCACTGCCATTTGAAAATGTGTCTGTGCATCCTCTAAAATTAACTCCTGTAGAAGCAGAGAAGCAAGGCACAGGCCTTGGGAAATAAGGGATAACTATGCAGATACCAGGGGCCAAAGAAGTTTTTTAACTGCGATTGTGTTTCTTAGAACCAGTAGCACTGATGACCAACTTTCTGGTCTGACTGATTCACCCCCTTCTTGGAGAACCTCCCATTACACACAGACCCTTCTAACTGGGCTGGGGGGACATTTGACTCAATCAAGCTCAATCAATCATTTCCCTCTTATGGGAATCTGGAAAAAGGACATCAGAAGGAGGCCCGCTTGTGCTGGACACTTGGGTAAAAGCGTGGAGAAGAACTGTTTCTTATCAATAATCCCTGACACACACACAGGGAAACCAAGCAAGAGGAGGTTATACCAGAACACGCTGAGGCTGTAGGGAGAAGGGAAGGTGGGTTGCTGAAGTCTTCTCTACCAGCCATGCTTAGAGAGAGAGGATGGAATGAATGAGATTGTGGGTCCAACATGGGAGAGAGATGAGGCCTTACCCAGTGAGACCAGGAAGCCACAAGTCTCCAGCATCACCTCCTGGTATAAGGTCTTCTGGTCCAGGC